GCAACGGAAGTTGCGATATCATTAGTCGCACCTGGGAGTGAATCGCGAGATAGAAATGTGAAAACAATCTGCGCGTGTAACACGCACATATAGCCACATTAACAAATGGTCGACATTTAAACGAGAGGTCAACGGATGTTTAAAGATCCTCGCTGACGGCACGCCGGGGTCAGAGATTCGTTTACGCAAGAAGTCTTCCAAACAAAATTACTTTGCGATAAATTAAGAAATTACGTAGATTCGTGAACAGTGCGGTCGAGACAACAATTATCCTTCTTGGCTTGCCATCGTAGATTGATTGACATCACTAATATTATCTCCGTGAAGCATCTTCATAAGCATTCTATTCAATAGTTCCGGCAGTGGCGATGACCGCTTGTGGCCATGACTCTATCAATTTCTCATGACAGAATTAGAAATTCTGAAAATGCGATGTTAACTTCGCAGAGATTGCGATGTTGCTGTTACGGCAATGCATTGTTAGTATTTCTACACTCGTTAACGAGTACTCATAATTATCTCATGATAACTTATCGATCTGTGTATGCGTGATACGAAACCGAGTCTCGTTATAAATATTAATTAATTAATTAATTGCGTATAATGCACAAATATTTCGTTTTTAATGAGGACTTGTTACAAATCCCGCGTACATCTCGTCGATCACGAGATATAAAACTGGCTATGAAAACGTGATTGATAATAAACGTTAATTAGATGATTAATTACAGATAGATTACATTTGTATAAAGCTACATTTTCCAATTAAATTTATCGAGAATGATAAGTGCCGTAATTAAATGAGAAAGTAAAATACTGTTATTAAAAACAGTAGGTATCATATTTTTAATTCAAATTTATAACACTAATACATTTCATTTATTAATTTGCGGTCAGTTCAAAAACTTTACGTTATTAATAATGTAACTTTGCTCTTAACGATTGCACGCGCGTCATCGCGAATATTTACATTACGTTTCTTCTGAATATTATTTCCTTCAAAAATATACCACGTATAGTTTTCATTATTTTTTTTGTCTCTCAACATGCATGTCCGACAAGGTTGTATCCTTCGCGCTTATCATTCCGCGTTCTGCCTCGAGAGAACGAAATGTTCGCAGTTATCATTCTATCCTCCGGGAGAGTTGATCTCGCTGAGAGATCCTGCCGGGCACCAGCTTCGCCGGCGCGTGAGAAAGGAATTATTGCTACAAAGACATCCGTTATGGTCGCGCACACCACGCCCGGTCTAACCGAGGACGACGAGTGTGTTACATGCTATTTCGCCGGCTGTTACACGCGTGCACCAGCGGAATATGTTTCTATATCTGGAAGACACGCGCGTGTATATGTACGCACACATGTATGCGTACTTACATCGGCGTGTACGTCCTGTTTCATACTAGTCACTTTTGGCGGTCGTAGAAAACACACTGACCCCGGCGTACTTGCGCGACGGACCGCTTCTTCAGGGTTGAATACGCACGCATAACGAGCACCGTGCGAATGTTACTTACCGCGACGCGATCGTGTGTGAATTTTAAAACATGTTGCGCGGCAATATTCCCGAGCAGCTTAATTATACAAACTTGCGAGACGACCGTCCTACCTAAACGAGATTGTCAAAAAAAAAGAAGAAAAAAACCAGCTTGAGCTTCTAAGTAGTTAACTCTCAACATGGCAAAATTAATAATGCAGATTTGAAGTCATATAACGAAGAATTACATTTCAGAGAGATGTAATTAGAAATATAAATTTAACGGGCAACAATTTTGAAAGTTTTACACTTCTTTTAATACAACTTTCGTTGGATAAATTATTTGTAAAACAAAGCAATCGTCGTGAGAAAGCCTAACGCGATGGCGAAATATGCATGTGTACATATGTAAAGTCATACGTATGTATGTCCGAGATGCTCGTCTCATAGTGACCACAGCGTTCTCCTGAAACCCGCGGGCCATTTGAATGCAAAGACCTTCGTAAAGCCCGTGATGCATTGCCGGCCGATAAACGTTACTCCGTAGAGCCCAGCGAAGGAAGCGGCTTTACGACTCGCAGCGGAGAAACGAGCCCCCGCGCGATCCCTTGTCTCGAGATTCGCAAATCGATCTGTGTGCGTGTACGCACGCACCTTACGTAGGATTTCGCAGCGCTCGGTGAAACGAGCTTTCGGTCAAAAGCCATTTCCCGAAAGTAATAATGGATAAACTATTCATCCCGTACGCGATCCGGTATATCTAACGTCTCCAATTATTTCCAAACTCAGGAATAAAATTTCATTTATTATGTATTACGGATGAGAACATTATTATTACGTTATTTTATGGTTCTGTGTTGAATTGTACATACTTTTGCAATATAAATGTACTTGTGTTATAAACGTGGTATTCGGGCGAGCGAGCAATGTGCGTGTAATTGTATTTTCGCAAACGCGTGTGAGTGTTATGAAAGACTCCATTGAGAGGGAGAGGAGGTCTAGGCGATGTTAGAGCACCATTGAAGTATGTAATTAGTCGCAAAACATATATATTTAAATGTGAAGTAGGTTTAAAAATCTTGGTAAAAAATTGCGATCAAAGGATCAGTAGGACAAGGCGTGAGATGCGACCTTCCAGTGCCGCTGCATGTTATTCTGCCCGAGTTACTTGTTCCATTTCGCAATCTTTCAGTATCAGAGATCGCACCAACCGCTCGTTTGACCTTTTTTTTTTTATTGTACGCCACAGAGGCGTATTTTATTTTATTGTTTCCGTAGAGGAACAAAATCGCTATCGTAAAGAAAATATCTCGAGCGATAAAATTTCGTAACAAAGGTAGATTAAAATATCAACAGTATTATGTAATTTCCTTAAGCAGTGCGAATATAAAAGCAACGTCCGCAAGATTTCTCGAAAAGATGAATGAATGAGCATAATAAGTTTTAACTCTTACCACATTGTTACGAGCGGGTAGAGTTTCACAATCCGACCGAGATCGTGATCTTGCGCATCGACGCTCATTCGACTTTCCATTTCGTCCGATACATATGCAGGTAACACATTACAGAATTGATTGCTTGTCGCGTTTAAAGGCACCGCGATTATGTATACGCTCAGATATTTATGATTGCGCGCGTCGCGACTTTACGAAATTTTCGGGTCGACGTTAATCACGCGGAAAGATTAATAGACGGCAAAAAAAAAGGAAAGAAAAATAATTCACAGAGTAGTAAATCTTGCCGAAACATCGGCGCAGGTAGGATATGGGATAATTAAAAGAACCAGGACAGAAGTATAAGTTGAATAATCGATTATATTTGGTAAAACATTTACAAGGTAATAAGATTTTTTTTTCATTTAACGTGTTACATTTACAGGCAAGGCATCCTCAAGAACCGTACCAACTCTACAATAATCGTAGTAATGTGTAATGTTACTTATAAGAAAGTATTTACCATCAAATTATCATTATCGTTACTATTAATATTAATATATTTTTACGGTATATTACTACTCTTATTATTTCTTCAGGAACAAATACATATTTTTTTTTCTTTAATCAATATACATCGATTCGCGACTATATACGAACAGTAGATCTGCACTTCCGCGTAGGCAAATTAAGGTACACGACGGACACTCTTTTTATCGAACGTAGAAAAAGAAAGAAGAACAGAGCAGTGTCGTACGTCTTCATAAATTCCTCCTGCATCTCGTCTCCTTCGTCTTTCCCTTTTCCTTTTGTTCCGTGTTTCGGATGTGTCGTGGGTCCTGGTGTTCCTCGAAATGAGCAACGATAGCGACGACACGATCAATTCGATTCGATCCTTACTTAATCGAGGTAACAATACAATTTTTCCGATTAGTTTTTCGAATGTTTACGAACCCACGAATTATAAAATTGTCGAGGCATAATTATAAATATTAATTATCGGCAGAATAGACGCAGTAGACATTATTACTAATCGGATTCGAGTGGAAGGGTGAAACATGTAGTTCGCAATACGGAGCTCGGTCCTCGCGAGTATGTGGTTACACTGATCTGAGGTGGACTACGTATTAATGTACAATGCTAGTGGTAAGATATGAGCTTATTATTCGTGAAGAAGTGTGATGCCTGCTTGAAAAGAATGAGAGCGCGGTAGGGGATGGGGTGACTGAGCTGAGACTATTCGCGTCGTGCATGACAGAAGCATGACTGACAATACACGGTAGAGCAACGATATCGCTATAGACTATTGCACTGCATTGATTAGAGACATGTGAATTGCTACGGTACACGGACGAAAAAACTTGTATTTGGTGCGCGCGCGCTTGTGTGTGTACCACCGTCGCAAGTACTCGAGTTTAAAGTGATTGAAGAGATAAGAGTTAGTTTCCAATTGACGAAACGCTTTATTCGGTACTCTCTCGCTAAAGTGTCGCAAACATTTAGAGTTCGATCGCACGGGCGTGATTTGTTCGCAAACGGAAAAGGAAAAAGGAAGTACGACTTTTTCGCGTCGATCAATAAAAGTCGTGATTCCTATAAAATCTTCGATGAGCGCACGTTCAGTGATCACATACGTACACACATATTTTCCCTGGGTGCCTCCCTCTCAATCTCTCTCTCTCTCACTCTCTCTCTCTTTCATGCATTTATTCTTTAATAAAATTCGTTAGATTTCCCTCGTTCGTCTTTGTTTTCCTATGTACTTCTCTGTTTGCCATTTTCCCATTGGAATGTTCTGCGCGTGGAGTTCGACGGTGAGAGCAATCAGCAATCATTCGTAAATATATTTTATACATTTACTCTTTTTTTTCTTTTATCTAGTTACTTAAGCAACTTATTTCCCGTAATCTGTATATGCACTTCGACAATGTATATAAACTATGTACAAAACAAATGACAAAGTAGACTAACGAGCGGAAACTTTCAATGGAAAATGATATCAAAAGACAGAGCAAATTTTATTCGCACGAATATTTCGCTCCGTCTCCTTACTGTTCAATTCGCGATTAATAATATCAATAATGATGATAATCGTGATGATAATTGATGATAATCATAATAAAAACATAATAAATGTTCATAATATGTTGTAACTATAAGTAATATTAATGATAATATAAAGAATAATAGATAAACTAATCAAAGACAATATACACATTATCACGTAATTCACGCTGTAGTTATATTCTATCATCATTAATCAACGTAGAAAGTAACTTCACGCTTGCGTAAAAGAAGTGTCATCTAAAAAAGAACAAAAAAAAAGAGGAGAAACGCGTTTCTTACGTAGCACTATATGTATATTACCAATAATAATTAGTGTTCTTTGGTAACCCAGTGTGATGCGTCCGGAGACCACGAATACGGTTGTAACGTATTGTCCGATCGTGACAAGATGGTCCCGAAATTATATTCTTGATCACTACGTTCCTCCAACACACGACTCTGGTCTGACTACATTACAACCACATTGTACAGTTATCATTAATTAATTAATCTCTTCTGGCGACGTCCCTAAAGGGCGTCGCCAATAAAAAATCCATCTTGTCCTGCGACCTATGTATATACACGTGTATCAATGCACGAATGCATTTATCTCTATGTACACGTATGACTGACGTAAACTCTTGATTAACCATTTGCTTCAAAAGTGGCGGAAAGTAAATTTCGATAAACTCTCGAAAGTTGTTGTATAATTATTTATATATAAATGACACATCACATTATTTTATATTCACATATTGAATTATTTTTCTAATATTTTGTATGTGCCACTCTTGAAGTAAATAGCGCGAATTCTCTGATACGAATTAATCGCATTCTCGCAGGAAACATCGACGTTCTCGCGCGCACACATGCGCATCTATTTGCATCATATATCATTTACGTCATATGTACATAACGACAACAGACAGATTAGCGAAATTAGCATCTCGTAAGAACACGACGATGGCTTCTTATCAGCCATCATCGAAACGGTGAATATAGTTGTAGATTTATGGAGCTCAGCGATTTTTCGAAGCTTACGAATCTGAATAGGAAAAAATGCAAGCGCAAGTTTCCTATCCTTGAAGAAGAAAAAGTCTCGGGACGCGTTAGAAAATACAAGCACATGCTTTCGAGTGAATTTTCGTCCGGAAGCTTCTTCCCTCGCAACTTGCTTTTCATACTCGCGCTACGCATCCAAACTCGCTGTCCATTAAGCTTATCGGTAATTAAGTAAATATCTTATAATTCCTCTTTATGTACACCCTGTTCGAATAGTTTCCTTAAATCTAGAATTAGAAACGTCGCAGTGGCGCGTGTAATGAAATATGCAATTATTATATATATATATATATATATATATAATAAATACAATTATTTATTATATATATATGTATATAATATATATATATATATAAGTATATAATAATATATATAAT